TACCTACCCTAATGCTGCCCCACGCTTTGTGACCGACTCCAAATTGTTTACTAAAGGGAAGTTCCAGGTACTAATGACATTTTTCGTTAAAACAGGGGCAAGTTTATTAGATACTTCGAAATATCTAATAGCTAGGCATTTTGAAAAAAACAATCATTGTTTACCCCATAATATTTTTCATCATTACTAACAGTTTATCAAAACGCCCAATCATACTCCTTTTGACAAAATCTCTTATCAAATGAGTGGGTATCATTCTAGGCATACTTTGATGCATACCTGTGTGTATATGCACACACAATTTATTTTTTTAAATAAAAATATGAGGTCACTATGCTTATTGTTCTGCAACAAGTATTTTAATTCTTAACACATAAAATATATAATTTATAAATATAAAAATGTATGGATATTTGGGTATGTTTACATATCTATATATTAATAGGTATTTTTATATATAGTATACATATACAACTATAAATAATTCTTGTTGGTTGCAGAACAACAAAAAAATTTCATTAATACATTTCATTAATACTTCATATAAGCCTAGAGTAACCTGTGCTGGGTTACTCTCACATCACTTAAGAGTTCTCTTGAATTTCTATGAAATTCAATTTCACAGATAGTAATCAGTAATTATCTTCTAAACCTAAAAGCAAAAACTGTACTTCACAGCAATATTATATTCTAAAATGATGAAGTCAGTTTAAAATATCCTAAAAACTTTTGGTCTAATACTAAAACCACATGACGTATCATCTTTATGAGTGAAGCCTCACCTCTGCATGAACAAAACTATACTTGCTTTAAAAAAAAAAGATATTCCTCTTTAAAGTCACCACATATGCCACAAAGTACACACAGTTTCTTCCCCTCTTCTTCTTCTAATAGTTTATCTTATTTTTCATGCAAATGTTCATGCACTTAAAAGCGCTGGCAAATACAGAGACAAACCACTTACTGTTAATTCTTGCAGGTTTTCTTCCAGCTCAGGGGTGGACCTCTTTAGCACAGCATTCTCAGCCTTGGTTAACCAACAGATAATCTCATCTAGTCTTTTTCTATATTCCATCACCTGCTTACTTTCTCCTTTTAGCCTAAAAAAATATATTATTTAAAAATGCTGAGAAAAATTATTCAGTTAAGTAGAACATTATATATTTGCTTTGCATATCCAGATTAAATACATCACAAAAGAAATAACTCCTAATAATTATTTTAACATGTATTTAAATGTGTTAATAGTAATGTATACATTCTGCAATACCAAAGACTATATCAGATAATGTAAGAAGAATTTTTCCTACATTAAATTCAAAAAGATTGAAACTAAAGAATGTTATCTTCTCTCATTATGAAAAATTATATATAAATTTAATAGAAGAGATGTTTTTGAAAGCTAGATACCATTGTACAACATAATGGACTTTAAATAACATGAAAAAATGTCTATCTAAAATAATAAGGAAAAACACATAATTCTCTGCATATTCCTTGGAGACATCATTATGTAACATATTATTCACATTGGTGGCAAGTATTATCCTGCTTTATTCATAAGAAATAAAGAACAAGAACAGGGCAAGATACTGGGAATGGAACATTTTTACAAGTATTAGAAAATACAAGAAAAATGAAATGGACAGTTCATTAAAATAAGTATTATTTATTAATATAGCCAAGTTATAAAAAGAGAATTAGAAAATACAAAGCAAAAGTTTTAAAGGATATAGAAAAACAAATAGTCTTGTGAATATAAAAAACAAACTTTAAATCTTTAAACATTGTAAGAATAACATTTATAAGTGTATAAACCATCTGTCAAAAGATGAGGATAAGTTTTGAATTCATATGACAAACCAGGTCATGTATTTTTAAGAAAGGGTTTGAAAGCTATTTAGAGTTTGGTGGTGGTATCATTATTGTTACAGGTCCTACTACTAGCTATTGATTTAAAAATAGAATACAATTTTTATGAATTACATTGTCATCCTTAATAAGAATGTACATTTTTATGTCTATCACTTAGTCTTTTTAATCACAAAAAGGCCTAACTTATGGCATATATTTAATTAAATGCAAAATAAACACGTAAGGCGGGCTGAGTGGCTCAATTGGTTAAGAGCTTGCTCAAGAGTTTGAGCTCTGAGCAACAGCGGTTTGAGTCCCGGCCTGAGCTGAGCAGCTGCTAAGCTGCCAACAGGTGGCAGGATGGCTCAGCTAAAAAATAAATAAATAAATAAACACATATATTTAATAAAGAATCAGTAATATTTGAAGGAGAGTATTTTAATGTTTAAAAAAGCTAATGAAAGTCACCAGAATATCACAAATTTTCATCTTTAAATATCCATGAGAAGACAACACTGTTTCAAAATTAAAAACATAAATAAATCAAGCAATACTACTAATTGTTAAGACTACCAATACCAAGACAGATAATTTACCCTTTGTGTTGAAGAGTATTTAAGTAAAATAACTTTTGAAAGCACCTAAAATACTATTACATACCTTATGTTTCCAAAAAAAATGTTGGAATTTAAATTTTCCATGTTTCATAATGATGACCTAGTATTTTGAAAATATATCTATGAAGGAAACTAATCTTATCAAGTAATTTCAATAAGACATATTTGAGTCACACAAGATTTTCATCTGCAAACTAGGTAAATAATAGCTACATTTTTAAATGTTATCCCTAAGAGGAAAAACAAGTTGTAAATTCGTGTTCAAACAGTACATAACAATTATTCATTAAGGGATAAGACTTTAAGTTGCTGAACTGTGGAAGTATTTAACTACAGGCACTCAATACAAAAACAGATGGAACTGTGCTCTTTCTCTGTGACTTTGATAACAGCGCACATATAATCTCTTAAAAGTTCCAAGGTGGCCCCAATTTATGATAAGTGACAATATGAAGTGAACTTAAACATAAATTTATGAACACAAATATTGCTTTAGTTAAAACGTAAGATGTCAGAGAAGAGATTCATTATTCTTTTCTCTTCTAAAAAAAAAAAGAGTAAAATATGTATTGGTTTCACATTTTAGTTCTGTGAGCAATAATTACCACAGTCCACAGAGATCCATTGGAAAATCTTTTCGGGAATTTCTGCATTTATTGCTAATATCATGCCATCAGGCACATCGTTTTCCTTATGAAGACATGGAGATAGACCATTTTCAAGCTGGAAGGGTTCTCCATGCAAACGCATTAGCATGGCGTAGAAAACTCTATGGGACCTCAGCTTCCAATCCTGCCCTGGTCCCTGAAACTTCCTCTCTATCTAACCTTTGCAGATCTCTTACCTGGCCAGACCATTTCATGCCTCCCACCTTTGCCTGTTCTTCTTTTCCCTAGAAGACCCTCCCTAGAAGGAATGTACGGGAAATGGCTATAACTGCTTCAAAACTCACTTTCAGGCTCCCTCCCGCATGATGTCTAAATTCCATGGCCCATCACCCCTGCCTCTGTGACAACACTGTAACTTCTTAACGATGTGCTCTTTAATCACACCACAGCGTTTTTTCCTTTAATTAGTTTCTTCTTCTTAGTCCTTAGTTATATTTGTATCCCCAGTGCTAAACACTAACTCAATAACTATTGATCAAATCAATCGATCAATCTTTGGCAAAATTCAGCAATAGCATGCTTGGAGAATAAGTTCTAGGTTCACTTACTATTTTAAGAGCTAGATATTTTAAGTGCTTACTCTGAATAGTTAGGGGCATATGCTTTTTACAAATGCCATTTTATTTAATCTTCATGACACTCCCGTGAGATGATATCACAATTCTCATTTCCAGAAGAGGAAACTCGGCCAGAAAGCGCTGTGGTCTTCCCAAGTTTGTATAGCACAGTATTTGAAAGCATAAGTGCCATCACTAACTTTCTGTGAGGGCTTGAACAAGTTACCTAACCTCTCCTCTCCGAGCCTCAGTTTCCAAAGCCGTGCAGTGGGCCTCACCGTCCCCTCGGAGAGTAGCTGTGAGGATTAAATGAGGCACTGCGTGCAAGGTGCCAAACGCTGTCTCTGCTCTGTGGCAATCTCTCAACCGAAACACACAAACTATTACTTGCCTCTCACCAAAACACAAAACAATAGATGATGTTATTTTATAAAAAGCAGCAAAAGGTCAAATATTCATACTTGAATAGTTTGTTATATTATAATATAGGCACACCTCATTTTATTGTGCTTCACTTTAATGTGTTTCACAGATATTGCATTTTATTAAAAATTGAAGGTAAGACCCTCCACCAGCAAAAAGGTTATGACTCACTGAAGGCTTAGATTGGGAATAAAGTACTTTTTAATTAAAGTATATAAGTTGGTTTTTTTAGACATAATGGTACTGCACACTTAGACTACAGTACAGTGTAAATATAACTTTTATATGCACTGGGAAACCAAAAAAATTGCGTGACTCGCTTTATTACAATATTCGCTTTTTTTGCAGTGGTCTGGAATGGAACCCACATTATCCCCAAGGTATGGCTGTACTGGACTTGAAAAAGATTAGCCTTTACCAAAACAATAGCTTATCATTAAAATAATATACCATCTATAGAGTTAAAATTAGGAGGAAAAAAAATCTGGGACTTTTTAACTGAAAACTACCATTAATCCCTCCAAAACGGTCTTGTATGAGATGGACTGTATTAAGCAAAGTAGAAATCATCCATTAAATATTGACTATCTCAAAAAAATGATGTCAAATAATTTATAGTAATATGTAAAATAATATATATAATATAGAGTATTATATTCACTGGTAAACATGTTTACAACCAGAAGACACCCTAATAAAGTCTGAGGCATTGTAACATAATTTGACATAAAAACAAACAATAGTACATCGTTATTTATTATAGTGTCTAGAAGGCAAACTGTATTATCTACAAAGCATTGACATTGTATCCAGGTGCAGCACACCTTTTGACACTAAGAATGATCTAGTGAAGACCCTAAGGCCCATTCAGGAAATTAGCAAGTAAGAGGTTTAACCCTGAACCCCAGTCTTCAGACTGAAAGTCCAGAATGTTCTTTCAACTACTTCAAGTTCCTGCCACATGGTTACCATATCATCATAAACAGAAATGAAAGGAATAAGGCATTTTTTTTACACATATGATACCTGCATAGAAAAGTGACACATTATGGACAGCCTGAAAATAAAGGACGGTGTTCTAAAAATGCAGAACACGGACAGTGGAGGCTTTACATAACAGTCAAGTCCTTATTGTAATATCAGACCATAAAAGAATTTTGAACTCATCTGAGTGTATCTTAAAAAGACTCTGCCCCAAATAATTTTACCCCTGTGCCTTTCAATTATTGTGGCATAATCACCTTGGCCGCCGCGCCTTCGCTTCTGCAATGATCGCACTCCAGCGTTCGTTCAAACCTGCTAGCTTGTCTTTCAAGAAGCTTCCATCGGTGGGGGAGAGTTTCTGGACAATCATGTCCCCAGTTCTGTTTAGTGCTGCAAAACTGGGCTGGTGGCTGCTGATTCCCTCTTCGAGTTCCTGTAACAGAGTACAACCTAAGATTAATTCTACCGCTGAACTAAACTGTTCTGAGGCAATGCATCCCCCTCCAGGTACCCTGGCGTCAATTTAAGGGTTAGATGAACCAAGTCCTGGAAAGATAGTTTATGTTTATGAAAGAAGGCATTTGAAAAACAATTTAATTAAATTTAAATGAACACACTTAACAAAATCTAATTTGAAATTTAACCTACACTCATGAATGTCATCGGTCAAAATACGGTGAAACACAACAAATAGCATAAACTATTAAATAACAGCTGTTTACAACATTGAAGCATAAGCATCAATCATGTTTGAATAAAGCAGATTCTTATCTTGGAATATGTGCTTGAAAGCATCTCTTAAAAAGAAAAACAGTGTTGACTGAGTGGCTCAGTTGGTTAAGTGTTGGCTTAAGAGGACGAGCTCTGAGCAACAGGGACACCGGTTCGATTCCCACATGGGCCAGTGACGCTGCGCCTGAGCTGAGCTGTCACTCAGCTGCCAACAGCTGGCAGGATGGCTCAGCTGGTGCAACAACAAGATTGCCTATTCAATGGTGGCTACGCCCACTCGCAACTAAGGTTGAACACAGCACCTTGAGCTAAGAGGCCACAAGCTGCTGACAGGAAGCCAGGTGGCGAATGGTGCCCTCCACAATGAAGACTGAAGAACAACAACTTGTTCTTCAATTCCCAATTCCCCACCACTGTTCCCCTCCCCCAATTCCCCAAGAAAATCTTTAAAGAAACAAAAAGGAAAACAAACCCCATCCACCCTTCTGTCCTACCACATATAAGTAAGCCTCAGTGTGCATTTTATCGAAACATTGCTTCACTGGGCTATAGATTTTTAAGTAGATTTAAAAGAAAGTATTATAAAGTAAAATTTAAGCACTTCTCTATAACTCAAAAAATGCATTAACAAGTATATGAGAAAAATAAAAGCATTCACTAACTCTTCATGAACCTCTACATTAAATTTATTTTCAAATTTAATAAAAGAGGAAATATTTCTTAACAATAGTAAATTGAAATTTTTTCTACTTTCAACCATTATTTTTAAAGACCTGATTTAGCTACTATGTTATATTTTCCAAGACTGAATTAGACTTACATGAGCAGCTACCTTGTTATAACTCAAGAATAATTTACTTTTATGATAATTAAAAATACTACAAAGAGAAAATAACATGCCTAAATGTTTAAGTACGTATGCTGACATGTTTCTGTCCTTCATATAGTCTTGGGCACAAAATTTTACAAATGTTATTCTGAATACAAAATTTTAAAAATAAATTTTTTTTCGTTTTAGCCTCTAAATAGTATTTTTAATTTAAGTTTCTTTAAAATCCTAATTAAAAATTATAAATAAGCAATTTTCCATATATCTTTGAAACTAGACACTAGAACTGAACACAAAAAATTACAGATTGTCTATATACCCCTGAAAAATTAATATATTTAGCCCCTGCTTTCGAAATCTGTCTTCAATGCCACATACTAAATAAATATGCCACCTTTTCCACAGATCCCCATCCTCTGATGGAAAGCACTCACCTGCTGATGTATCCTGGCTTTCTCTAAGTCCAGGCCACCATCTGGAGCAAACGTATCTGCCAGTAATTCTTCGGCTTCTGTTATCCACTGGGTGAGGTCATTAAGGTCACAGTGGAACTGCCTCCATTCTTCCACAGCCCTGTCAAAATACCTAGAGGACAGTAAAATAGGTTTCCAAACTTTCCAGGGCTGTCTAGAAGCAATTTTTCAAAAAAGGAAATTCAAATCTCATTTAAACACAGAGCCTGCCAAATGAGTGAATTCACAGCTCACTGCTCTACAGGATTAGTGTTTGTAGTGGTTTACAGTTAATGATTCCTTTTAGAGAAGCATGTATCATACCAAGCGTAAAACAATCAGCACACTCCCCGTCCCACCTCCCTCTCTCTCACGTACATGCCTGCACACACTAGGCAGCTTGTTACCTAAAAAGACAGCCTTCTCAGGCTTGGAAAATCAAGATTGATTAGCTGTAGGCAGTTAACCAACCCAACTTTAAATACTTAACATTTCAAATTCTGCAAAATGTAAAATATGATTCATTACTCTGTTGTCTTAGGAAAAAAATATATTTTACTTTCAGAACACTTAGTTCCCAGGTAGAACAAAACCCAAATGGCCAAAACACTTCAAAATTTCCTTTCACTTCATTATCTCTGTGTGATGGGCTGAATTGTATGTGTCCCCCACAAATTCATATGTGAAAGCCTTAACCCCCAAAGTGACTGTATTTGGAGATAGAGCCTTTAGGGAGATAATTTTTAAAATAAGGTCATGAGGGTGAGGCCCTAATCCCCCAGGATTATTGTCCTAATGAGAAGAGGGAGAGACACCAGACGTGTTATGTATGTACTACTTTTCGAAGCTGAACTGAATTACAGTAACAATGCATTTAGAATGTTCGCTCAAAAGATGGCATTAATCAAATGAATGTTAGCATCACTGTGTATTACAATTTTAATATATTTTTTCTTTTCTTAAAATGTGCATAAATTTTTTGGGGGCACCCTCTGTATTTCTCTGTGTCTGCGTGAGCACAGAGGTAAGGCGATATGAGGACACAGGGAGAAGGCAGCCATCTGCAAGCCAGTGAGAGGCCTCGTCACAAATTCACCCTGCTGGCACCTTGCTCTTGGATTTCCAGCCTCAAGAACTGAATGAGAATAAATGCCTGTTGTTTAAGCAATCCTGTGTGTGGTAGCTGATTATGGCAGCCCTAGCAGACTGCCACACTCTGTGCAATGACTAATCCGGAGTGTCCCAGTTATCTGAACATAGCACAGTATGAAAGTACCTGCAAAGCCCAGGTTAGGCAACGAGACAAAGTTGACTACTGAGATGTCTAATTAAACCTAACTCCTTTATTTTTTTTATTTATTAAGTGTATTGGGGTGGCAGTGGTTAATAACATTATGTAACTTCCAGGTGTTCAATTCTGTAACACATCACTGGTGTATTGCATGTGTATTCACCACCCAAGGATGAGTTTCCCTCCATCACCATAAATTTGACCCCCTTCACCCTCTTCATCCTCCCCCCACCACTCTTCCCTTCTGGTGACCACCAAACTATTGTCTTTGTGTATGAATTGGTTTGTTTTTGTTTCTTCATTTACTGCTTTCTGTTTTATACATATGGTGCTTGCCCTTTTCCGTCTGATTTATATCACTTAGCATGATACTCTCAAGACCCATTCAAACATAACTCTTAGAAATAATATGAAGTCAAACTCCAATAATTGTCATATTTGGAACACAAAATAAATATAAAAAGAAAAAGCTTTGGGCCAGCCAAGTGGCGCATTGGTTAAGAGTTTGCTTGAGACGCCAGAGGGCCACATATGAGGGCCAGTGACACTGCCCTCTACAGCTAAGATGCTGAAAAACAGCTCAACCTGGAGCTCGGTTGCCAAGAGTCGTCAGCGATGGCGTAGGCTGCAGCCCCTGCTACAGTGGGTTGCCATGGGCTACTGTGTGTAGCCAGCAGCCAGCATGAGCGGCCAGCAGCCACAGTGAGCGGCCGTCCAGAAGCCGGCGACTGATCTGCCTCGCCCAGGAAGAGTGCAATGGTGGTGCCAACTTGGGCCAGTGAAGCAACATCCTCCACAACTAGACTGAAGTACAAAACGACAGCAACTTGTCTGTTCCCCTTCCCCCAATTCCCCAGCACTGTTCCCAACCCCTAATTGCCCAATAAAAATCTTTAAAAAAAAAAAAAAAAAAAGAGAAAGCTTTGTTGGATTAGGATCCTGAAGAATTTCCTTCTGTCCTTTATTTAGACTAGTGGTGCTGGGAGAGGTTTAGAAGCTATCTTGGAAATTTAATAATATTAATAAAATGTTTACTTTCTATAATAAAAATATTATTTTAAAAAAATAATAAAATGGTTCCTAACATTGCTGACTCCTAAATACTGTTTATATTTCCTTCTGTCATGAAAATTACTTTGAAAATTCAGTTAATATTTGTTGAGTGCCCACAGGGAAGCAACATTCTACTGGGCATGAGAAATATAAGAGCACGTCAAACAAAACACTGAGAAAATAGTAAGACTATCTTCATTATTGTTTGTAAAAATGTGCAATAATTAAATAACAAACACAAATTTTGACTTTTGAGATCCTGCAATAATGAATAGAAATGTTGCTAGAAAGCCTGCTCCAAAAATCTAAAGACTTTGAGAAGTTTCACATTAAACCTAGTAAATATCATTATCGTCAGAACATAAATTTCAAGTAAATCTAAGCAGTAAAGCTATAGATTAAATAGAAAAGAGTTGTAAAAATGGGGGAAAAAAAAAAAAAAAGGAAGAGCCATTTTCAGGTAGAATTTGCAAAGCCATCATCTCCTCTCTGAATCCAGCCAGCTGAGGCAGCACAGAAATGTGAAGGGCTATGGACTTCCAGAGAGTCAAAGGATTCAAAGTCCAAGCCTTACACCAGCCTTGGTTTGGATGTGAACTAAAAACATGTAAATTTGCCTTCTCTAATATTCCAACTGGCCTTGCTACCTTCCCCCACAAACTCATCTCACCACCTAGGTTCCCAGTCTCTAGCAGGGGTACACCATCACCTACGTAGGTCCTCAAGCCAAAGACTCGGGGTTCATTTTTTACTCTTCCTTCTTCCTTACTCCAACACCCCACCAATCTCATAAGTTATTGATTCAACTATTTAATTCTCAAATTTTCCCCTAGTTTCCACTTTCACAGCCACTTTTCTAATCAAGTTACCATCAGGTGTCAAGCACAGATGGGTCTCCTGGCTCTCAGTTTTGTCCTCTACCAATCCATTCTACAATCAGCAAACTGGCATCCCCCTGTTAAAATACTGCAATGACTCCCTGATGTTCTCAGAGTAAAATACAAGCTACTTAGCATGATATACAAGGCCCTTCTGATATGGTCCCTTTAGACCTTTCTGGTTTTATCTCTCTGTTATGAGTTCAAGCTCTACTGAACTATTGCCAATTCCTCAGAAGCATCACACTCTCTCTTATCTTTGGCCTTAGGCAATGTTGCAGTCCCTCTATTCCTTCACCTGACTAACTTCACAATCTCCAAAAAGGTTTCCCACTCCGGGTCCCTAACACGGCCTCCTGCATCGCTCCCATCACAGCACTATGCACTGTTGAATAAGGCCCTACCATACAACTTTGGACCTTGATGAATGGGTGAAGTCTTCTTATGATAAAACTGAATTTCAAAAACTTGTTAAATGATGAAAAAAGAATGCCTGATGAAATTAAGAAGGAAAACTATTCTGGGAGAAGATGGAATTCTGAGTAAGAATCAGAAACTGAGACAGTACAGAAAGCCAGAAAATTTTAATCAAGTTTATATGAAATGAATGAAGAAAACTTTTTTTTGAACAATATAGACAAAATATTAAAATTCAGGCCGTCTGGAGAACACTGTTAAAAAGCTTCTAAGCTCAAGATGGGAAGTCTGAACTTTGTTCCCACAGCAGTGAGGGCCACCAAAGAAGATGCAGAGGATCAATTCCTGACGAGATGTTCTTAGGAGAGAAGATCCACGAGGGTCCAAGGATGCAAGATGAGAAGGAAGAAATAACGGGCTTAAAGAAAGGGAAGAACTCTGACAGGGAACAAGGAGCTCCATTATCTATCTAGCATGGCTCTAAAATTGCTTATTTGGAAAAATAAGACAGCCAATGCCATGAACCATTGCAAAGTAGGCATAAAGGAGTTCTCAAAGAGAGATGATCTGTTTTATTTTCATGGTACTTACCTTACTTGTACTATTGGCCAACAAAGCTTGAAAAGTTTTATAGGCAAAACAGCCCAGAGACCTGGTATAGACAAATGGGCATGGTGGTCACCCTGGTATGACTCTGGCTGATAACTGAAACCATGAAAGCACACGACATTTACTATGGCCTTGATGCTTCATGAAAAGAATAGAATAAGGCCAGCCGAGTGGCTCAGTTGGTTAAGAGCTCGCTCAAGAGTTTGAGCTCTGAGCAACAGTGGTTCGATGCCCNTACCCGGCATGATGACATCATCGCGCCAACCCCATCACATAGACCCCGTACAAATACAGGTGTATGTGACAGGGTTGCTGCCATAATGTACTTATGCAGACCAGCCACACATGTGTAGAGAGCAGCTACTCTGTAGAAAGCAGCTGCTGTATTGAAAGCAGCAGTACTGGAGGTACAACGACACTTCATGAATTATACACATTTCACAATATATAATTACATATTGTTTTTGTGATTAATCACTATGCTTTAATTATGTTCAATTTGTAACAATGAAAATACATCCTGCATATCAGATATTTACATTACGATTCATAACAGTAGCAAAATTACAGTATTTATAGAGTACCAATGAAAATAATTTTATGGTTGGGGGTCACCACAACATGAGGAACTGTATTAAGGGGTCGCGGCATTAGGAAGGTTGAGACCCACTGATATAATAGAATACTCCATCGCCTATAAAAACCATGTCAAAGGAGAATATATAAAACAATATAAAATTTGTGATATTTTAGTATCACATATATATGAGTAAAAATAGACATGTATGCCAAAATGTTAACAGAGGTTATTTACGGAGACAATGATAATTCTGCTTCTTTGTACTTCCTCTCACTCCATCCCTACATCTCATGTACTACTCTTTTATGTCAAGAAAAATCTCCCATAGATCTATCGAAAAAAATAAATGAGCATATGTCAGGAGATAAGGAGGTAAGGTCAAGGCTAAGAAAGACAAAAATTAAAGCAAGATTTTTGTTTGTCTTAAGTTGTGACTAATCTAAGTATATTCATAAGCTATGAAAGAGACAATATTTACTCCCTTCAAAAACGAGGATGATTCCTCTTAAATAATTTCAATACACAGCTCTCTAGAGGTAGAATTAGCAGAATACTAAAAAAAAAAATGCTATCCTGTGGCCATAGTTAAGATCCTAAGAAACTCAAAATCCTCTGTCAGAATGAACACCTGTGGTTTGAATAACTTCCAATGTCAGCTATGTGGTTTTGTTTCGGGGTTTTTTCCCCCNGTAACAAGATTGTCTGTTCGATGGTGGGCTATGCCCACCCGCAACTAAGACTGAATTCGGCACCTTGAGCTGAGCTGCCCGCTTGGATGGCTCAGTGGATACAGCATGTGCTCTTAACAACAAGGCTGCTGGTTCGACTCCCACATGAGCTTAGAGGCCATGAGCTACTGATGGGCAGCCAGATGGCGGCTGGCGCCCTCCACAACGAAGATAGAAGAACAACAACTTGGCTGGTCTCCCTCCCCAATTCCCCAACAATGTTCCCCTACCCCTATTCCCCAGTAAAACCTTTAAAAAAAAAACAATGAATGGTTAATATCCCTAATGTAGAAAAAAGCTTTTGCAAACTAATAAGTAAATAGTTATGCCATAATGGAAAAGAGAGCAAAGAACAGGACCTAACAATCTACAGAAGAAATAACACTGGGGCCAATAACCTTATGTAAGAATATTGAAATCTCACTGATAATAAAAAAAATGAAAATAAAATTTATATGTAATCCATCATTATACAATTGGCAAAGGTCTTGAAAAAAAATGAACCTGTCAATGTTAACAAGGGTTCAAGAAGAAGGAAATTTCCACGCATACTGATATGCGCTGTCAAGGGTATAATAATCAATTTTATGATGCAATCCAGAGCCTTAAAATATAATTTTTCAACAATCTAGTCTTCATATAATTAAGTCTAATTAAAGTCGGAAGTATGCATCAAGATATACATGAAATGATATTCTCAAAATGTACAGAGATATTCAAAGGAATATACCAAAAGCCATTAAAAGTTATCTTTTCAGTGACAGTCTGATCACATGAAATATGTAAGCTAAAACAAAAACAAAAAAACAAACAAAAAGATGAAGAACATTGTTGTTTTGTGTATGTCTCTGAAGATGACCAACATGTTTTTCTGTATTAACTTTCCTCTTACGTGGTACTTTATATTGGGGTATTTCACGTCTTATTTGCCTTTCCACTACATACCCAGCTACTTGCAAAGATCTTATCATTTTTTTATTTCTACCTATTAATAGGCCTGATCAAAATCTAGAAAAAAGGAGGCTCAAAAACATTCTATTAAACAGAAGGTTATTTTTAAACAGGGTTTGGAGTTATACATGGATTCTAATTATCTGTACCTGTCTTTGTTCTCCACTCACATTAATCATCCAGTGTATAGACCAAGTGAACATGAATGAAAATCCTTTTTAAGCTTTTTAAAGAAAATAGGCATTATTTAGATATTAAAAATTAAAGGTGTTCCTTTAATTATTAAGATATTGTGTTGCAAATGATCATCTGTATGTGATCTCTTTCTTCTTTCTTTTAAGGAACTAACTACACTCATTGCCATTGATGAAACAGGGCCTATTACAAGGATGTTAAACATACTCTCATTAATCTTAATGTAATGACCTTTGTCATGGTCCTTTTTTTAATTAAATATTAATTTAATTTATACGTACCCTTTACGATCATTATACATTCTATTAATTCTGTCCCACTTTGCATTCAGCTGAGAAAGTGTATCCCTGATCTGAATGGCCTCAGGTCCCGAGGCTTCGAGGATAACATCTGGTTGTTTTTCATGAATGACTGCAATCTGCTCTCCGAGTTTGTCCAGTTGGTCTTTGATATTCTACAAATATGTTGTCAGACATTAACAAAATCCAGCAAAGAGATAAAAAGAATGAAATTACAGACCAAAAAACTATGTTTATAACAATTATTTAAAATATGAGTCATAATAATTGTTGTTTATCAAAAGCAGAAACTGCATAGAAGAAAGCATAGGTACTAAACTTATGGACCTTGGGTTCAAAGAGGATTTTATCAAATCCTCAAAGGCAAGGGAAGTAAAAGCTAAAATAAATGAATGGGACTATACCAAACTAAAAACCTTCTGCACAGCAAAAGAAACCATCGACAAAATAAAGAGGCAACCAACCAAATGGGAGAAGATAATTTGCAAACAGTGCTTCCGATAAGGGGCTAATATCCAAAATATATAAA